TGGGTTGGCCATGGATGGTTGTGCTCCGAGGTGTAGGTTATCACCAACATGTTGGGATCAGTCCGGCTCCGCTCCACTTGCTTCCTCGCTGAGCAACCCTTTGAACTGCTGCACCTATAATACCCCCTGCCAAGATCAAACCATTTTCAACAATATTTTAATTAACTATCGGAAACAAACTAGGGATACCAAGATCAATACTGCATGCAAAGATAAGTATTCAAAATGGACTCAATATTCACTAATTTCATAACTTTGATTTTACTAAGAGAGGTTGGCAGTTCAAATTTTCGTGATAACTAAACTTGATCTACAATAAGATCAAAGGGTCAAATGCAAGATAAGAAGCATAGAAATTATTTTCTTAACCTAATTAGACAGTCTAATAAAAAGAAAGGGTAAAAAAAAAAGAATTCAACAGTTTGTCAGGAGAGAAGGCCGGTCGGGGGAGGGTGTAATTAATCAAGAAAAGGGTAAGAAAAGAAACCTTGGATATGGAGAACCTTTGATTGGTTTTTGACCATACTTCCTCCATGCCCACAGATCAGAAGGAACGACTTCTCCACTTGACCTGCTGTTTACAGCAGCCGGTGCTGGGATACAAACAACCTTCTTCGCCTGGCACTTCCTACAAAATTTTCATAAAATCAAAGTCAAACAATTGACTGAATTTTCCCATCTAGAAAATGTAGAAATCGTGCAAGAAAAGAAAAGAGATATCAGTAATTTCTTGGACAATATGAAAGTGGTATTATTGTGCAAGTAATATTCCTAAATATCGATATCAATCAAACCAAAAGGTATAGATTTAGGTTAGAGAAGAGGCTAAAATTAGTACTCGGGATGAATACATGAAAGTTATGTTTGTGAGTGTTATTGAGACAGCATAACCTTGGGCTTTTGCATAATTTTTATAAATCCAAAACCCTAATTTCCCATAATCTCACCATGGTTTTTATGAAGATCCAAGTTCCAAAAATACATCCATTAATACCCTATACTTATCATGGGTTGTTAATAAATAATAAAAAAATGAAAATTTAAGAAAAATTAAATTAAATGGCATTTAAGTCAAATTCTGTTTAGTTAATTGATGTACTAGGAATTAAATATTACCCCAACCTCTTCTTGATTCCCAGATTCCGCGGAGACGAGATCTGCACCGGCCCGGTGTTATCCATCAAACATCCTTTAGAGCTCATGTCGCTTGGGACCACGGCAGGGGAAGGAGCCGCAGCTATTACCGGCGAGTCACATGGCGACACCTGAAGTTTTGGAGGAGCCGGGGAGATCTGAATCCGAGGGAAAATACTGCAGGTTGTCTGAATATTACTACTTGCACCGTAGAATCCAGTGACTGTATCTTCCATACTAGTGCTCATCATCATGTCACTGGAAGTTGGGCTGCCGAAATAGTTGGAACCGGCGGCGTTGAGCTCGGTGAGAAGTGGATCCCGCATGGTGGAGAAGGGATCACCGAAAGGGGTAGTAGTACTGGGCTGAAAATTGATTGGATCGGAAGGGAATTTCCAGGTGGGAGAAGAAACATCAGAAGCAGAAGCAGCGCCACATCCAAGCGGACCACCAGTGCCTCGAACTATATCAGTTAAATCACCTTGATACTTGTCCATGCCAAGAACAAACAAGTTGCACATGCTATTAAGGCAAAGACACCATCATCTATAACAGCTTTTGAGCATTTGGTACTGCACCAAAAACAGACGTAGAAGATTTTTTCCTCGAGAAGATGAGAATTGGGATGATGGGTTTTGGTTTTTGAGGAAGCAAGAAACAAGAAACAAGAGAAAGCAAGATTTTGGATTTTCAAGGTAGTAAATGGAACAAAAAGAAAGAATAGGAAGAGAGAAGAATGGTTCTCGGAGAGGTGGAGAGCTGACTTTTCATACAAAACTGCTCTTCTCTAGCTATACGCAACGAGAGTTAAAGAGTAGGGAAAGTAGAGTTTAAAAACTCCAAACCATGGTAATATCTGAATAAACCAATTAATTAAAGCTCAATTATTAATGTTAAGGTCAATTTTTATGCAACTGTTTTTCTTTTTTTATATCTGTTTTTTTTTTTTTTTTATTATTGTGTCTTGTCTTCTTTCTGATCTTCCTTCTCTTTCTATCTCTTAAAAATCCTTTTTTTTTTTTTTTAAATTGTGTTTTGGAAAACGTTGTTTAAGCAATAAAACAAGTGATGGGAAAGTAAAGAGGCGGCAAGTAGCCGCATTTTTCGGAGAAACGTTTTTTGGTTCTCCGGTGGCGTTTCGAAGGAGAATGGCAGGATAAATACCCCTCGATGTGTGATTTTGATATGGCACTTCACATGGTGTTTTCCAAGTTTTGATTTGGAATCAGTCATTCAAAAATAGTTTGTTAGTTTTCTAAATCATACATTCCTTATGAAGGTAAAGAAGGTGGTCTTAATTTCTGCCTAAAAGTTTATTTTATAATTAATATTTTTTATAAAAATAATTATTTAATTAAATATTTTTTATAAAAATAATTATTTAATTAAATATTTTATTTATATAAATTTTATATTGGAATTTATGTAAATAAATCATTGGATTTAACAGTTAAAATTTCAAAATATTTATAAAAATATAGTGTTTTTAAATTAAAATTTTATTGAGTCAAGATTAATACTTCTTATTTTACATGTAAATATATGACAAGAAATATCAATCTTTTTTTTATATATATAATGAAAATCTACAACTTCTTTGAACAATGACTATCAATCTTTATATAGAAAATCTCCTTTGATGACACATTTTGGCGTAAAGTCATCCCACTTGGAATGTAAGTTGTGAAATGTGAATGACCATATTCAAGTCAATCACATGTCAAATTAAGATCCATGTATCTAATTATAGACTTGATTGTAAATTCAAACCCCATATCTACAAATAAATTTTTGTATTTTCTGTGAACACAAAAAAATGGATTCCCGGGACACTTAGGCTTTCTTTCCTCCTTTCCTTTTCCTTTTTTTTTTTTTTGTTTGTGGCTGGAATATATGAAAGCCGGTTTGTATAGTTAAGGGGGACCTGGCGAGCTGCTCCCAGAAAAAGGTACGGGAAGAAAAGACTTGAATTCTTAGACTTTCTCCTACCTAGTAGACAGATATAAACGACAAAATTAAAATCATAAAAAAGCCGCAAAATTAGGGAAAAAATTACTTAGTATAGTAAATTTTTTTTATACATACTTTGATTCAAAACATTTATTAAAAATTATTATTTTTTAATTAAAAATTTAAGATAAATAAATTTAAAAATACAATCATATATGCATAAGTTATAAATTGATGAAATCACATATATTTATATTATATTTTAATAATTGAGTTGGATATTGAATTGAATGCATATGTACCAATCGTTTTCTATTTTCTTAAGTTAAAATAATATATATGGAACAATTATAGAAAAATTAGAATCAAACAATTATAGGAGGAAATTCTTGTGGGGAGGTGTTGAGGAAGGTAGAAAGACTGCATGGGTATCTTGGGATAAGGTTTGTTGCTGTAAAAGTGAGGGCAGGGTAGGGGTAAAAAATTTGAGATATTTCAATATTGCTTTGCTTGGAAAATGGTGGACGAGATTGATAGGAGGTGAAAAGGGTATGTGGTCTAGGGTACTAAAAGAAAAATATGGAGGCAAGGAGGGGAATTGGTTGTCATGGTTGAAGGAGGGTCGAAATATAGGCTCATCTTGGTGGAGGGATATTTGTATACTAAATATAGGCCTAGGTGGTAAAGATGGGTGGCTGACCTCAAATGTCAAATTGAATTTGGGGGATGGGAAGAGTGTTAGATTATGGAAAGATAGTTGGGTTGGAGGGGATTCACTTGTTAATTCTTTTCCTAGACTGCTTTTGTTAGCTACAGAAAAAAATTGCAACATTTTTGACATGGGCAACTAGATGGAAGGATGCTGGAATTGGAGGTTCCATTGGAGAAGGCCACTCCGAGCATGGGAAGAGGACAGTACGCAACAACTAATAGAAGCTATAAATCACAGACACCCGATACAAGATGCTAAGGACACTTGGAGCTGGAGCCTAGATGTGAAAGGAAAATATACTACAAGGTCAGCATACGAGCAACTTGCAAAGAAAGAAGAAACTAGACTGTTGGAGTACAGAAAGCTGTGGAGGGTAAAGGTTCCATCAAAAGTAAGCGCTTTCTCATGGCAATTGCTTCTCAATAGAATTCCTACAAAAGTTAACTTAGCAATGCATGGGATCTTGGATGGTAATCAAAGTATCAACTGCTATTGGTGTGAATCATCTCTGAAACATAGCGATCACCTCTTTGAGTCTTGCAAAATCGCCACCAACTTATGGAGAAAATGTTTCAACTGGTGGGGGTTACAATATGCTCTTGGGAACAATTGTTTGGACGTCTTCCAGCAACACAGATGGCATAAAGGCTCAAAAACTCTTAGAAAGGGATGGGAAATGATATGGTTCACCATTGTATGGTCTCTATGGTTGAGCAGAAACGAAGCTTCTTTTCAGAAAAAGAAACCTAAAGAGGACAAGTTATTTGAAATAGTACAAATCCGAGCTTTTCACTTGGTAAGAAATCTGTTAAATCTTGAATTTTCTTTCATGGAATGGATTTCTAACCCATTGAGTTGCCTAACTAACATGAAATAGAGTTTTGAGGGAGAGTGGGGTTCTAGACATTAGGCTTGGGTTACTTTTGATTATGTATTTGGAGCCCAATAGTGATGATTGATATACTTTTTGTTTGTCTTATGGGTTTGAGTACCCTTGTACTCATATAATATATCTCCTTTGCTTTTCAAAAAAAAAAAATAATATTGCGGCAAAAGAAAAACAATATATAATTTAATGTTCATCATATTCTAGCTTCCAAGTGCAAAGTGTATTTTAACTAGGAAGAGTTTAAAATTTTGAGTAAAAATTCTCATATTCAAATATTAAAATATGTTGAAGAATTTAAGAAAAGAGAATGGTTTGCTTTAATTGTATAATTTAATTATTACCATACATACCAACACAAGAAAAATACACAATAATAATTATGGAAACAACAAATAAATAAAAATTAAAAATGTTGTGTACTTTAGAGTGCTTTGAATTGCATAATACTTGTCAATAAATAAGAGTAGGCTCTTAATATCAGGAGTTTTCTTCCATTTCAATTATCTTTTTATTTTTTTACAGTTGTAATGCAGTCCAAAAATGTAAAATAAAAACCTCTAAATCAAATGAGGTAGTTTGGGACAAAAATATCTTTCCACCTTAGCTTTGAAACAATTTTTTTTTAGGAAAATGATCTATATACACTCAATTCAATATATTTTTTCAACAATTAAAAATGTAATATAAATATAATATAAATATAATCGATTTAGTCAGTTTTTGTATTTATGTGTATGATTATATTTTTAAATTTATCTGTCTTTAATTTCAGATTAAAAAATAATAATTTTTTAATAAAAATGTACTGTGTATTGAACTAAAGTATATACTAATCATTGTTTTTTTTTTTTAAGAAACAAAATAAAACAAAATCTCTCTCGCGTTTACTTGAGGGGTGATTAACAATCGAAAAAGGTCACTAATTTATAGTGAGATATGTGGAAATCATTGCCCATAACTTTAGCAGTAATATAAAATTCTGAAATTATTTACATAAATTTTCCATTAGGAAAAAAATCTCCTAGTTAATTCGTACACGTTGTGGCTTAAGAAGAGAATTCTTTGAAGAATAATAATAATAATGGATTGAACTAAAATTTGTGGTCAAGGACGTGGTATAAATTACATCATTTAAAATATTAAAAGGTAAACTCTATATTATTTAATGATTGATGCTTTATGTTTTTTAGAACTTGTAATATTAATACATAAACTAATTTAATGATATAATTTATGTCATATCATTAATTCTAAATTTTCATCCCAAAATATCAATGTGCATATTGTGTGAATGTGATGCTGGATGAAGATTCGATTGCCACTGTATAACCATATTAAAATTAGGACAAAAAAAAGTTGTAAAATTTTGTTACAATCATTCTTTAAGGGAGTCCAATCTTTAAGAGTTTGAACTTTTATATCAAAAATTTTAAATTCAAATTTTAAGATATATGTCCAGTGAAGTTTACAAAATGAAACTATTCTTTATTACTTCATGAAACTTATTATTTTATGTATTAAAAATATATATTTCTTATTTCAAGAGTTAGTGTTCGTTTGGAAAAAAATATTAAAAAATAATTAGTATATCATTCAATTTAACACACTCTTCAATATTTATTGATTCAATCATTAAAATATAAAATTTTAAATTATCTACTTTTAATTCAAATTTAAAATAATAATTTTTGAATGATAACATATATGGAGGCCTTTCTCTAAATGATAAAAATTAGAAACCTTGTAATTACCACAATAATTTGCAGTTCCCTAGAAATGTGAATTACTATATAATGTACTTGTTTTTGTATGATTATATTATAAAAAAAAAGTATAGTGTTAATATACAAATGATATAATTATAATGTTACATGATATTATAAACTTATAATTATAGCGTTATTGTATGATTTATTCTTTTTATTTAGAGATCCCATGATATTGTATATATGAATTCATTTATTTAATAACTACATCACATATTGCTGGTATTAATCTGCAAAGATAGTGCTTTGAAAGCTATGTTAAATGTATGCACCCTAAACTTGAAATCTCAAACTTAATTGACAAAAGTTAAATTTTTATTATTATTTTAAGTTGCATAATAAAATGTAATTCTTTCTTATTCTTTTTTTCACCACACCTACTTGCCTGCAACTTGAATTTAAAATATTTTACTCCATTTTAATAAAAGATTATTATTAAATTACCTTTTTATTAGCAAAAAAAGGTTAAACTCTAACTATTTGAAAAGTCACAACTAATTGAAAAATGTTTTGGTTTGTTGATACTATATGAATTGTTAATGATTGGATATATCATATATTGTTGATATTTTATCATTATTAAAAACTTAAAATACTGATCCAACCAACCTAATGATTACTCTTTGAATGGATGTGATGGACATAATGACCTAAATTCAAATCTCATACCTCCTCCCCTTCCCCCTACAAATTCCCTACTGCTCAAAAAAAAAAAAAAAACTTAAAAGACTGATTTTGAGCCAAACTAAACCGTTTCTCCTCTGGGGTTCTCTTACAAACAGTTTATACGTTGGTGTCTTAAAATTCTCTTGAAAATAATTAATGAGTTCAGTTTCCGCGATTGCTTGTCAGCGTGGTTAATGTCGGAAAGACAGAGAGAGAGAGAAAAGAAGAAGAAGAAGATCTTGAAGCTGCAAACAAGAAATCACGAGATCCATTCAAAGTCAAAATGGGTTGACTTTTTTGTCCATAGCATTTTAGCCTTGGCCTCTACTTGTGGTTTCGGAGTTTATGTTTTTCCCTTTCGCTGATCCCAGAAAGAATCCACTTTGTTTCCCACTAACCATTTATTGTTAGTATATTGCCCACTTTCCTTGATGGACAAAAAGGCCTGTGGACCTTCTAATTTCCAGAGGTGTACTAAATTCCAAATGTCTTTCCAAGGGATTCTTATATTAAGTGGTGGCTTAGCTGAATTCAGCCTTTCTTATTTACAATAATTATCCAGTTACAGTGTTTTTATACTTCAACGTAACATCAAATAAGTAATTTTTTTATAATACAATGTAATATTAAATAAATAGATATATATTAATTTATATATTTTATTAAGTTAAAAAAAAAAATCACTCAACTACCTTCTTATATCTTTATATGAAAAATGATTAGTGCATATTAAGTTCGATACAAATTTTAATACTTATTCAATTAACAATTTAAAATATAATATAAATATAATTAATTTAGTCAGTTCTTATATCTTATATATATTATTGCATTTTTAAATTTATCTATTTTTAATATTATACCAAAAAAATAATTTTTTAATAAATAAGTTATACAATATGTTAAATTAAAATATATATCAATCAATACCCCATGCATACATTAATACAACTTTTTTCTTTATTGATAAAAAATATTAAAAAATTAAGCTTGCAGGCGGAGGTGAAAATTTTATTTTCTCAAAATCTTTTAGTTTCAGTGTGAAATTGTGAATGATATTTCTTTTTAACCAAATCCACACACGCAAACCAGTCTAAAATTGAACTTAAATAGCATAATAAAATAATTTTTGCTTACGTGAGCATTAAACAAAAAAATTAGAGTTTGAATGTTTCATAGGGAGAGTACTTGATTATAAGGATAATCAAGATTTAAAAAGGCTATTATGATGAGATTGAGGCACATAAACTAGGGTTTATGTACTAATGTCAGGATGATAAAGGACAAAGATTAATTTTACATGTCTTTATAAAGACTAAGTAGTTACTAATTTATATTAATTTTGGTTCTAGCTTTTGGCCTTTTGTAAAGTTAAAAGGATTAGATGAAAGGTCAAAATGTCATGCCTTTAATTTTTTGGTCCAAAAGTAGAGTTTCTTTTCTTTATTAATTTGAAAGTCGGGCGTGACATTTTCAAGATGGTGCTCTCTCAATATGTCATGTAATAAGGCCCTTAGAAAATGAGAAGTCATGCTTGAATAGACATCTTTGTGTCACTTGAGATATGAGGTTTCGATTTTACAATATTTTGAGAGCAAGACTCGTTTCTCTCTCTCTCTCTCTCTCTTTATCTCTATAGTGGGAAAATACTAACGTTCATTTGTACAGAGAAATGTATCTTACGGTGCCAGTTTGAATATACCCTCAGCTCTTGTGAGGGGAATGATTTATTATTATTATTATTTTAAATAAAAATTATTATATAATTTAAATTATATTAAACTAAAAATATATAAAATTTTCAATAAAAAAATAAAATTTTGATATTAAAAACTTCTTTATATATGAGTCTTGAGTTGCAATCTAATATGGTGTGAATATCAAAACAATGAACAAGAAAACCATTATTGTATGAACAGACATTTTCTTTGTCATTAATTATGTTTATGGGTCTTTGTCAATATTAAATTAAAAACCTCTAATTTTATTGATGAAAAAATGAAAAAGTGAGCCATCAGTGTTTGATCTTTGATGGGCTGAAGCTTTCAATGGACCAATGATCATTTAGGGAATCACCGTCCTCCAATGTTTGATGAGACATTTTGAGAATCTAATATAGCTAACAACCATTATCTCTCCCTCCATTGTTTTTTTTTTTTGGACTCCTTCAAAAAGACAATAGTTACCAACTATAGATCTCCATCCTCTAACAATTTCATCAAGTAATCCCTTCATAACCTAAGTAGCTGTCCCTTTTCCTTTTCTTTTTCCTCTTTTTTTTCAACTTCCATGATATTTTTAGGTCAATTTGCACTTAGTTTGAAATAAAATTATTTGAAGTATTTTTGTTTTTTACTACATTAGAAATGAATTGTTAAAAACTTCATTTTCATTTTAAATCAAAAATTTCAAATTAGTGTGTATTATTCAACTAAATTTTTATTAATAACTTTTTTAAGTACTAACATCAAGATTTAAACTTTATATTTAATTTATAAGATATAATTACTTATCAAAAATATCTAACCCTACATAATTAATCACGTTCCAATCTAGCCTAATAAATACCCCCACATGAAGCCTAGAATTGAGGAATTGAGGTTAATCCCCATTGGCCTACATACCTTCACTATAATCATAAAATTACCCCGACTTGTTCGTCATATTTAATTTTTTTTGTTCTGTGTCTCCTTCTTCAAGACCCAGTCCCAACTGGGATTTTTTTTGGTGGTCCATAATTTAGAACTCTCTCAACAACAACTGCAAGAGTTAGTTTTTATTGAAAAAATTCGATGGATCATTGAATTATGCCAGCACTTACCCCACGTTCCTGCATGACACTCTTAATCCCCACTAGAGAACAAATTAAAACTGGGATTCTCTCAACATTACTATATACTTCCCACAAGAATCCCCCATGTGAACCACCTCCCATAATTTAATCCCCCTAGTTCTCTTAACGTCATTAATTTAATTTTTTTTTTAGCTTAGCTATTAGGATTTCTTTGAAGTAGCTTACAAGCATCTCAAGATTAATTCTTTTTTAATTTAGTTAAAGGCAAATTATCTTCTAAAAAATTTATAAAGAATTATCTTTTCATTAATTTTTTTGAAAAATCAAATGTTGGTCAACAAAATGAAGAGCAAACTTCTTTACTAATTAAATCACAATTCTTTGATTATTATTGTGAATAATTTAATACAACTACACTTAAAATGCCAAACCTTCTTCGACGCTGACGATTGCCGGCTGGATTAAATTAATCAATCTTGATTAATATCCATCTGCACGCCCAGACACTTGCCTAAGCATCTGACGGGCTCCGACGTCACCCGTGTACCGGTGACCTCACCGGTTACATCCTCCATCTCGATCCATCGCCAGCTTAGGTATATCAATCAGGCCGAGGCCACCTGTTTAATTAATTAATATATAATCACTTTCATAATTCTTACATAAATTAATTATATGTCAAATTGAGTAGCGTCGCTATCTCTCTTTAAGATTTGCTAATCTTCTTAATATATATGGTTGTTGTTTAAGCAGTTGCCGACGTTCCAGTCACCAAATGCCAAGTTAACATTAATTTTTTTTGTTCCGTACTATTTCGGATGAAAAATGATGAGGTAATAGTCTGATTAATCTTTAATGGCTTGATGAGGGTAGGAGAGTTGCATATGTAACCCCAATTGTAGAAAAGAAACAAAATTACTCATTCTGCTCTAAAATAATATCCTCATTGTTTCAAAAAATTATTATTGTTTGAATTTGATTATGTTTATAATTAATTATTACTTTTTTATCTTTTAAGATAGTTAAACAAGTAATTTTTTTATACTATAATCTTATCATTTTCAATGTACTTTAATTAATTATTTTATCACAAAAATTTTTTTTTTAAAAAAAGTAATACAAGTAAACACATATAAATTATTTTCAAGTCTTTAATTTAAAAATTTTAAAAATAATAATTATTTTAAGATAAAAAGAGTCTATTCTAAGAAATCTTAAGCTTGGAAGATTGCGTACTATTTTTATTTTAGACTGAAAGGAGTAAATAAAAATTTCTTTTGAAATGGACAATTGTACTAATTTTTTACTAATGGGGAGGGGAAAGAGGAAAGGGAAAATGGGTGGGAGAGGGGTTTGATCCCACAAGAGTCGGTGTTCGCACACGAAGACAAGATGGCTTATTATGCCACTGACCTTAGATGTGGGGAACAATTAAATTTGAGATTTGTACCTTACAACTATGCTTCACATTCAAACAATTGGGATGTGAGGGTTAACTTTTCATTATTTTTTTTGGACAATAATACATACATCCTGTACAGTTATACACTTCATTGCATATTGACGGAAATCATTAGTGTTTAACAGAAATCATTAATTTTAATGGCACAACTAACAATAACCGTCAGTTTTAACGGCATAACAAATGGAAACTGTCAACTTTAACGGCACAAGTAACAGAAACTATCAGTGTGTAACGGAGTGTATAACTTTGTAAGATGTACCAATCATTTTCTTTTCTTTTTTTTTTTTATAGGCCTAAATTGCCTTCTGAGTGACTTTATTGCATGATCTGTAGGAATTTTGAAAGAATAGGCTCATATGGGATTGGGTTGTGTGGGGTTACTGCTTCTCATCACCAACCACAGTGCCTAGTGCATGCCTAGGAGCCTTTACCTTTGAAAATGTTTACAACATTATCAATCAATAACAACTAGGGGAAGGTTCTTACTTCTTTCCAATGTACACAACTAGAATGTACTACTAGTTCATATCTTATGTAATTAAGCAATTGATATTGTTATATTATACCATATGCATTGGACAGTGCAAAAAATTAAACAATTAATTCATGTATCTTAATTTATAAGAGATTATATAAAGTAAGGGTTTTAGGATGACTTGAGCCTTTGGATTGTGTGCCACGTGGCCTATTGCCATGTGACATAAATGACTTTACTTCCAATGAGAACAACTCAAAAATCCTTCTACCTTTATTTTGGGGGTCTGGTTTAGAGATCCTATGCTCCTTTAAGTGTTTTTCAAGTTCAAAAAACCATGGTCAAGCTATCACATCCAATTTGTTTTTGCGTTGTTTATGTGTCACATTCATATAGGATGTTGCATTCATGCACTTTTCTTTTTACATCATTAATTTAGGCCTTTGGAATTATAAATCAAAATTGAAGGGTTTGGGGGGTTTGATGTGCGGATGAGATGCAACAAGATTTGGCAGCTTCTTGCAAAATGGGGCTACAATTTTGGGTTCTGTCAAGGGGATTGATTGTTTAAATTTTTGTCATGCATAGGTAAGAGTATTTTACAAGAAAATGTGAAATAATAGCTTAATTGGTTGTTTAGGCATTATAAATTAATTTTTTTATTTTTAAAATTAAAAATTAAACACTTAACGTTACAAAATTTGAATATCATATTTTAACTCACATTAAAGTTTTTTATATATTAATTATGTTGTTGAGGCCTTGTTTTTCATATTGGAGACACCTTGTGTGCTCTCATCACAGTTTGTTCTGCAAATAACATGTTTTCTGACATTACTCACTCTAGGTGCCAACCAAAACATCTCAATGTTGTAAGAGTTAGGCTAGGAATTCCACATGTAATCATCGTCGTTGTGGGTTGGCAACTGGGCTCCGAAGGCTTGGGCTTACTGTAGTACTATCATGAACAAAGCCTTATTATGCTCTGGAGGCCTAAAAAGGGTCAAAATTTTAAACCCTCTTTAGGATTTGGACTGGGGCATTATAAGGAAACAGGTGTCCAATAGAAAACAACCCAACTTG